CCTCTTTAGCTCCCTTACCGGAGTACTTGAGTCATATGAGCATTTTCCAGCTTGATTAGCACTTGTAAGCATCTCTCATTTATCGCTTAAGCAAACCTTCTGGCCATCTCAAGTCTGGAACTGAACTGTAGTGCTTGTGAAGCTGCTTTGTTTGCAGTATTTGTAGTTTTAGGAGGTTAATCCTGTGCGGAACGAACACAAGAGAAAGGCCCTGCACATGCAAACGTCGCTCAGTGATGCGTTCCAAATTGGTAGCAGCTCGACTTCTGCAGGATTGGTTTACGGAGACTCAAAACAAACCACGGCTTCTGCTGCAAACGAACCCAAAAGAAAAGACATAATGCCAAACAAAAAGCAGAAAACTCAACCGAGACCTGCGCGTTTATTTTTGAACAGTTTGACTGGATCTGCGGAGCAGGTAACCCCTGCTTCCTTTACTGCCCATATAACTTTTATGCGTCTTTGCTACAGTGCAGCTACAGCCTCAAAAACGCATATTGTCGAGAGGTCGTCTGTGTGTGTGTGTGTATGTGTTTGTTGGGAAGCGAGTGAACTTTGTCACCCACTTTCATCTCAGCAACCAGGAAAGTTTGGAGGCTGAAACTTTGGGTATATGCTCCTACCCCATGTGTCTCCCTCATGTTTTGAGATCTTCCCTTACACGCGCCTAAATCTCGCCTACGAACTTTCGAAAAAAATATGCATATTTCTTTGGCGGAAAACGACTTCGCGAACCAGGCAATCTGCAAAGCTAAAACATTGCAAGAATATTTTCTGTGCGTTTGTGAGCTAAAGGTTTCAAATTCAGCTGTCGCGCATGCTTGTACAGCGTGTACTGTCACGTCAAAGTTTGTAACTTGGTACCGTGATAACTAAAAAACTTACCGGAAAACTAGTTGAAATTTCGTCAGCATGTTTGTCGCCCATATAGAAAGTCATATACCTGGAATGAATATCGATTTGCACTTGCGTCACACTTCAGTGACATTTGTGACGAAGCGGATATTTCGTTTACCGGATAAGGTGCGAGGCCGAAAATTCGCTGGGGTAGAATAACCCC